GAGCGGCGGCCGCTGGCGCCGCTGGGCAGCAGCGCGGAGCTGAGCTGCGGTGAGTGCCCGCGCGGCTCCCCGGCGCGGCGCGCGCGCGCGGGCGGGCGCTGAGGCGGCCGCGCTCTCCCTCCCGCAGACTCGCCCAGCATCATGGACATCTCCATCTCCTCCGAGCCCGAGGAGAGGAGCCCCAGCGTGAACAACGTGCCCGACTACGCGGGCGACATCCACGGCTACCTGCGGGAGATGGAGGTAGGAGGGCGGCCGGCAGCGCCCCCCGGGTGCAGCGCTGCCCGTACCAGCTAAACGCCCGCGTTACGGCACCCCCAGGTGAAGTGCAAGCCCAAGATGGGCTACATGAAGAAGCAGCCCGACATCACCAACAACATGCGGGCCATTCTCGTGGACTGGCTGGTGGAGGTCGGCGAGGAGTACAAGCTGCAGAACGAGACCCTGCACTTGGCCGTCAACTACATCGATAGGTTTCTGTCCTCGATGTCTGTCCTGCGGGGCAAGCTGCAGCTCGTGGGTACCGCAGCCATGCTGCTCGCATCGTAAGTGGGGCTGGCTATGGGGTAACTCCACCCGCTGCTCTCGGGCGCCTGGGAATCTTCTCTTGTGGCTCTTGCGTTTTGTTGTGTGCAGTCAGACTGACCCGGGGGGGGGGGGGGGGCGGGGGGCGGGGGGGGGAACGTGTGGAGCGCCGAGGGGGGGGGGGGGGGGTCTGCACTAGGTAAAAAGCAGCAGTCATCCTCAAAAGCTTGGTGGCTTGGGTAAAATGCTGCAAGCAACAGACTAGGGACTTCTGTGGAGAGGCCTTGTGTGAGGAGTTGCTAGTTGCAGTCGCACTAAAAAGCTTTTGGGAGGTGTTTTGGGATGCATGTGCAAAGAAAATCTTGCTCATAGCTGTTAGTCCGTTGTGTTTTCAGAAACGTCAGTAACTCCTGAGTCCCAAATTATTTAATAGTCAAGTGGTTAAGTGTAAATCTCTGTAACTTCAAAGTAATGCTGATCCAAGACCCAGGGGACTGGAGGCAGCAAACTTGAGTAACCGGATGCAGCTCCTCCACAAGCCAGAACTTGTACTTAGCTGCTTTCATAAAGTGCTGCCGCTTACCTGGTTCTCTGCTACACAACAGCTTGACAACAACAACTGTTCTTTACTGCAGGAAGTTTGAAGAAATCTACCCTCCTGAGGTCGCAGAGTTTGTCTACATCACAGATGATACCTACACCAAGAAGCAAGTTCTAAGGATGGAGCACTTAATTTTGAAAGTTTTGTCATTTGACTTGGCAGCTCCAACAATCAACCAGTTCCTTACCCAGTATTTCCTGCACGAACAGACAAGCGCCAAAATTGAGAGCTTATCCATGGTAAGTAAGAATCCATAGCTGAATCTGCGTGACCGAGAAGTTATCTTATTACAAAGTGCACCTTGAGAGCTCTGTTTTCTTTGATCAATAGAACACTGGTAGGAGATGTTTCAGGGCAGGCTTTCCTGTCTCAGCCTCTGTTAAATCCCTAAGATTCCTCTGTGGGAGAGGCCTGGGGAGCGCAGCTTGTGCCCTGAGTGCTCTGCTGGGGTGGCACTCGCCTTGGGAGAGAAACCCTTTTGTCTACTGCTTAGCATGCAGCATCTCGAATGGTTTTGAAGTCTGGTGTTTGAGCTGGTATGAGTGCTTGCTTAGCACAGCCTGAGGCTGATAAGTTCAGGGTCTGTTTCAGGTCTGGATGCTTCCCCTCGTACTTTCCCATCTAAAACTAACAACTTCTCCTTGCAAAAGGCACACTGTTCCTTAYGTTTCCATGTTAAAATTGTATAGGGATCAATGCATACTTGTCAGCCACCAGAAACTTGCACCTTGAATAGCTAGTGTCTTGTCTGGTTGGACTTGTTCACTGTGGTTCAGCTTGGCTGGAAAGGACACAAGCACTGAGCTCTAAGTCTAGTAGCCCGTTTCTTGAACAGAGCACAGTGAACATCTTGGGCTTGTTCTGGATCAAGGCTGATGCTACTGTGAACTCCAGGCGTGCGGCAGGTGCTGGAGGTGCTGAAGGGAAGCAGTCACCTTGCCAGGTGAAGGTCAGGCTGCCTGGACCCTTCCCTCAGGGCCTTGTGCGCCTCCAAAGCGAGACCCGTGGAACCGGGAGGGTGTTAGGCTGCAGCTAGCACGGATGCCCCGGGGCTGTTTCTTGGGTAGTCTCCAGGTTTTGTTGCTCTTGAGAATGCCCAGAGTCAGGTGGCTGTTCAGTTTGCCAGGCCTCCCTTTATTTGTTTCTTTCACTCTGCACCTGTGTCCAATGCTTTCACCTGCCTCAACTTTGTTGTGAGCAGAGTATCAGTATTTGCTGGAAGGCACAAATGTGGGACCATCTCACTAAGGGAGTTAAGTGGGAAAAGCTGCTTCCCTGATGGGCAGGATTTGGAGCTTAAGCTTCCAGTGATGATGGTTTTAATTCTTTTTCCTTTTGGAAATAGATGATTCTCTTGTCTTCCTTGCAGTATCTTGGGGAGCTGAGTCTAATAGATGCTGATCCTTATCTGAAATACTTGCCATCAGTTATTGCTGCTGCAGCATTTCATCTAGCAGGCTACACAATCACTGGACAAACTTGGGTAYGTAGCACCACCGCCACAGAGTTTTAATTCCCTTCACATCTATATATTTTATGCAGTTCTGCATCATGTGGCCAAGGCTCCTCTTAGGGCTCAGGCTGCTGGAAATTACAGCCCCTGCAAACCAGGAGTTTATTATTAGGGATTGTCCCTATGGTATCTGAAAGAGAGATGGGAGGGAACCTCTTCTGGGAAGAGAGTAGCATCTGATGTGCTCTGCTCTTGTGATTCCCCTCAAAGCTGTTAGCAGCCTCTTTGTGATAGGGAGAGAGCACTGGAAGCAAAGAACACTTCTAGYTTTTGCCTCTAAAGGCTAGTTTTCAAGATTAATGAACTGCTATTATCTGAGAGGGATTATCAAACTACTTGTTGCCCAAGGGAAAGGTGCCCAAATGCTCCTCTTGCTTTTCTTTTTCTCAGCCTGAATCTTTGTGCAAAGTAACAGGCTACACCCTTGAAAACATTAAGCCTTGCCTCATGGACCTACACAAGACCTACCTCAAAGCAGCACAACACACGCAACAGTCAATAAGGGAAAAATACAAGAGTACAAAGTGAGTATCTGTAAACACATAGGATAACCCACGCTTAATATTAACTTAATGTGCCATTGCTAACCTRGGGGGGTGTATCCTGAGATGAGTCTTAAGTCAGACTAAACTAACCCAGTGGACCTAGTGAGTGACAGGACTCCCATGATTTGTGTGGCACTTGCTGGAGGGGTAATTCATGCTCACAGACACACCAGCTATCCCTGCTCAGGCTATTAGCTGGGCTGGGCTGCAGTTACTCCAGTGACTTTCTTGATGCTTGTGCAATCAGGAGGCTGCCTCGTGCTCCCAGACACCCGGAGTGGCTCCGGAGTGTTTTGGTGGCCCTGTGGTTAGTGAAGGGTGCTTTGCTGCAGTGCCTATGCTGCTCTGGCCAGCACGGAGCACTCRAGTGAGCTGACAGCCTGCGTGTTTTTCCTCCCCTCCTCTAGGTACCACGGAGTATCGCTCATTGACCCGCCAGAGACACTAAACTTATTGTAATAATCAAGAGACTGATCTTTTAAAAAGATGTATATTACCTTTGCGAGGAAATGGTGTACAGTTTTAAACAAGGTTCAGAAATCTAGATGTGATCATTCACAATATTAATGCAGGTTTTTGATGAGCTTAATTATGAAGTTAGTTTTATGTGGTTTTAATGTAAATCTTTTGTACATGCAATCTTGTTAAAAATATTTAGCTGAGTTTTTTATAAAACGTTCTATTCAAGCACAAAATTAACCCTTCAGACTAAGTATATGTCTGAGACTTCTTATCTAATTAGAAACAGTAAACAGCAGTGCATTAAAATAGGGCTTTTTTGCTCTTTCCAAGTGAGACTGACTTGGATTCCACAACAGTATTTGTAGCATTCTTCTAYTGTCTAGTTTAAATTGAGGCTTAGTGTAGATCCAAAATGTGGCTTAACAGCTGTAATTTTGAAGGAACTGCACAGCTACTAGGAGAACACCTTGCTGAAGTGAACTTGTGTGAGACTTGAGGATGTGCTAGATAATGGGAGCCAGTTTGTAGAAATGCAATGTACTGTCCAGTCTCTATCAGGTTAAAGGCTGAGTGCTTGACTGCAGGGACMACTTCAAACTAGCCTTGCAGTCTGTCCTTGGTGCTTCCTGTATGTACAGAACGGTCTTGCTTATAGGTATTTTCTAGTCAGTGTAAAATGGATAATAATTTAAGCCCACGGAGCTCCCATTAATGTATAAGCTGCCCCCAAGCCCATCAATGTCCACTAAAAAGCTCACCGGTTTGCTTGGCACTTGGCTGCAGTTCAGCCTTGCCACCAGGGTGACCTGCTGCTGTGTTGTCAGGAGRGAGGGAGGAAGGGATGCCTTTTGCACGGACAGTGCTACATGGCCCTTGCTGTGCGTGTCCCTGCTGCTTCAGAGGGGCTCGCCTACAGCGAAGGGGTAACCAACTTGTCTTGATTTTTCTTAGCATTTCTCAGTTTCCCTAGAACTGTTACCAAACTAGTGGCAAATAATCAGTGTTGGATTAAATGGACACTCACCTTCAACACATACAAAAGGAGTGATGTCCTGACCCTACTGTGCTTTGCATGTAAATCAGTGACTGTATGGAAGTGGATTTTTAAATGGGCCATTTCCAGGTTGGCTAATAAACATCTTGACATCTGATGTTAGTGGTCTTGGTGGTACCTTAAAAACAGTGACAGTTGGTGGCATTACTATCCTAAATTGGTGCTCCTTCCTAAATGCCTGCAAGGACTGCCCTGCCGAGCCTGTGCCACTGCAACGTGGAGTTAGTGAGTGCAGAGGGGTGGCTAACCCAAGACACTGCCAGCACCAACCAAGAACTGTGTATCTGCTGTCTGTGGAACAATTGGTGTAGGCTATAAAAAGGACAGCAACAGCCCTCTGGTGAGCTGCTAAGTGTGCGTTTTGGTGAGAAAAATCACATGTCGCCTGAGTAGCTTAAAGACTTGGCTGTTCTGTCCACATGCCTACTGAACTCCTGTTCAGCCCTGCCCGGTCTGTGGACTGAGTTCTCCACAAGCCAACACAGTTTGCAGAACTCTAGCTTAGAGGTGTTGGCTTGTGAAGCAAAGACAAGAGCATGCAGCAGAGATTCCTCTTTTGGCAGATGTGAGCTTTTTGGGATGCACTTTGGCAGAAATGTTGTATGTATTCCAATATATAATGAAAAACTGTAGCTCGTTAGTCTTCCTTGTTCTCCAGTAGTTTCATTAGCTCAACTGCAATAGCTTGCCACTGAAAAGCTAAACCTCGTTTGGCTGAAACTGCACACTATCATGTCTGGTGCTTAGTCTGGGAAATGTTTGGGCCTCACAGAGGAGTGGGTCTGAATATCCACTAACACGTGTGCCTTTGCTGTACTTGCAACAGCAGCTGGTGACTTTGGCAGCTCTAATGAAAATGCTCCATGGCCACTGTCTGTAGGCCTAGAGCCCAGGGTTCTTCCTGAGAAGCTGGGTCCTGCCTTTTCCTTTTGGTGGCAGACATTGGGAACTTTAAAGGCTTCCAAGAAGTACAAACCTAAGAGGAGTAACTTAAAGCTTACAAATTACTTTGTCCAGAAAGGAGCAAAATGCCAGTACCCAGGAGAACAGCTTAGGCTGTAGTAGTTGACTGTATTAAGTTACAGCTTAATGAAATGTCGTCTTGCCCAGTTTTGGATAAATAGCATTGCTGCTGTTTCTATAGCATAGAGAATAATGCTGCCTTGCTCCCTAAACTTTGCTTTTAGCCAGTGGGGTCTGCTCTATAGCCTGGATAGCCTGAGAAAGGCTCAGGCACTGGGCTGGCATCTTGGCCTGAGCTGGCTCTGTTCTTCCTAACCCTGCCCCAACTCTTGGTGCTGCAGGAAGCAACAGCCTCTTCAGCTAGCAGGGGCCCTTTCTAGCTTTGCCTTGGAGCTTTGAACAAAACAGAAAAGCCCAGGCTGCACTGCACTACCTTTTTGTCTATCCAGTGTAACTTCTGTATTATTTTCAAAAGAAACAACTTAGGGACACAGGGTATAAACTGTTAGATGGGGAAATAACWGAATTCCCAAGCAAAAGAGGGGAGAAACAGTTGCCAAGAATACTGTTCTTCCTGAAGAAGGTGGAAGAAGCTGAATCTTCACTCATTCCTGTGCTTCTAATGGCCATTTCCCATGAGAAGAACTGACACTAGGAAAAYGCACTGGTTTAGCTCCTGGAGGAAGACGATGTTTGTCCCTTTTGGAAAGGACACGACTGGATTAAAGCTGATTAATTGGCAAGGAGTTGCCCCTGTGTCAGTTCTAAAACCCTGTTCTCAGATGTAGTATTTGTGACAGCAACTTCTTTCCTGTTTATATTTCACAAAATACTGAAGTCACATGTAAAGTAATCCTACTTTGCTCTTGTACATATGTGTGTGTTTCTGTTTTGACTCTGTTTTCAAACAAAGCAGCTAAACCATCTTGGAAATGTCTTTCCTCCTCCTTTGTTGTCCCTGATTTTAAATGTGGAGCATATTTTTTTGACTATGGTGCAAGAAGCATTCCTGTTTGTTGCATGTAATATTTAATTAAACTTTTTAAAAAAAGCTGTATTGATGAACTGTGAGTCATTCTCATTTAGGTTTTGCATCTTCTTTTCCCTAGCCAGMTGCTTTTATGATATTTCAAGTATTTGTATTTTTGCTCATCTTCTATAAAGCAATTTTCCTGAAGGYAAGCTATGGAATGATATGGAAAGACTGTCTTAATCACAACCCATCACATCCTGCCAWGGCATCTTTCAAGGTATGATAATAGCTATGTCAGCCCAAGAATGCTTGCCATTAAGTTGGAGCCATAATTCCTTCTAGCAGCTGACCTTTTGTCTGTACATAGATTACAGTGCCTAGTACTGTATCTATACACGTTTAAGTTGTTGCTGGGACTGTTTTGCTGAGATGGCACGCTCTCCTGTTTGTACAACTCAAGTAACTTGAGTCAGTTGAACAGGATACCACCAGAGAACTGAATTTATACAAAACTTGATTTATTTTAAATGTGTACCAATATGTGAAATAKATATGGAAGCAGACCTGAGTTGGGAAGCAAGGGAAGTTATCTACAAAAATAAGGTCAGTAACAATAGACAAATTCTGTATTGTACAGTGGTTCTGAAGGGCAGGTGATCACTTTMATGAGCGACTCTTCTTTTTTCTCTTTTTGTTAAATGTTTTCTTACTCGTATTTTCTTGTTTCAAGTTGGGTTGTGTTCTGTGAGCAAAGGACATTTTAGACAACATATGAAGGAATTTTATTTTAAAAGTTAGTTGATCCTCTGAAACACAACAAAAGTCTACCATGCTGAGCATAGAGCTCAAACTTGAAYTTCAATGTTAATGTTTAAATGTGTTTAAAAACATTTTAACTGAAGCTTCCATRGCTCATGGAGGGCTACAACACTAAGTCTAACCTGAAGGATGAAATTTCAAAATCAGCTGTAATAGGCAGTCTCTACAGCATCTCTTAAGCGGCAACTGCTTCAAATACATTTGTATGCTCTTAGGCCCTTGGTGGGATTGAGACTAGTCAAACATTTTTAAGCCTCTTGCACAGCTGCAGGTCACACAGAACTACAGGGCTCAGAAATAAGGCGGCTCCCATTGCTTTAAACTTCCTGACTGCTGTCTCTGCAGCCCCATTGATGACTGCAGTTCTGGGCTCGGCATCTCCACACGTTAGAGCACGGTGTCTTTGCTAACAGCTGGTGCTTTCACAAACTACTTATCTACTCCTTCCCCCTGGTATTTTTACAGTACTTTTACCTTGTTTTCTTTGGTGGAGCCTGTGGTTCCAGAATGACAACTTCTTCCTCTTCGCTATCAGACAAGACAATAGGTTCATCTACAAACAAACAAAAAAGTTTTTGTGCAGACTGCTGTAGCTAGTAACTATATTATTTCTAAATAAATCTTCAGAGTAGAAAGATGGATGCTCACTACTGCTAGTGCTGCTTTGAACTTCCACCTGGACATTTCTTCAAAAGAAATGTGTTGTGTGGTATACTGACTAGCAGAGGGGTGTCTCAAAAAGCAGCTATGTTAGGTTTCCCATTTTTGATCGGCAAGTCTTCCTCTCTTAATTCTTGATTGTTAACCAAGTGATATTGTAAATATCTGGTATTGATATAAATACTCACCTTTCTCAGCCTTGTTTGTAACAGTGGTATCCTCCACTTYAGTTTTCTCCCATTCAAAAGCAGTAGCATCAGTTTCACCCTCGTCATCTTCAGCTTCTTCCTTCTCGGATTCTCCTAGTTCTCCCCAGGCATTTTCTATTCCTTCCCCAATTTGGGCTGTCCCAGGGGTGTGCAGTATTGGTTGGGTGAAACTTGAAGTAGTTAAGAAAAGTCTCCCTTAGTTGGCAATCTGTTGGTACTTTAATGCGAATTAGGTGGATTTAAGCTGTGTCTTTTCCCTCCACGCCTTCAAGGGGGAGGTAGAATACTTAGTCTCTGGGGATATTGACAGTTGTAGTTCATGKTTAGTTAGTGTTATGAGTTAAATTATCTAATGGTGGTAACTGCCTAAGGTGGCCTGTGATGGCAATATTTCATCTGGAGGCTGAGGGACTACCTGAGCTGTGAGAAATTCCAGCTGTGTTTTCCTTCTAATAGTGCTGAAGTGGTAGCAGAGGGGAAGCCTTTCCCCTCACCCCTCCCATATGCCACAATAAAAGATACATTTCGGAAGGAGGATCAGCCGTAGTGATGATTTCTTCCACTTGCTCTTCCACATCCTTAGTATCAACAGCAGCTCCCTCCATTTTGAAGGCAGTGATCTTCTGATTTGGTATAGATTCTGCAAAGCCAAATTTCCCACCTTCTTTCCTAGTCAATGACAAGTGTTATTTCAGGATGTTTTACATTTACAAATTGTTTTTCTTCTCAAGCTCAACTATGTATACACTTACAGCTTAAAAAAGCTACAAGGAGAATTTTTTTTTTTTTTGCTATTCATGTTAAAGGCTTCTCCCTACAATACACATCTTCTCCTCTTTCTCTTCTCCTCTTTCCCCAACTTACCTAACTTTCTGATCATTCTCCAAAGCCTTCTGAATAAGTTCTGTTATTTCCACAACCTTTACAGCTGCTATTTTGCTGCATCTCAGAATCTGTTTATGTAACAAGAACAGGTTGTAAGTGTGAAAAYAAGGAGTCTGAAAAAACTTAGTACACTATAGATCACAAACACATAAAATACACTACAAACTCATATTAATAGGACTTTTCACTATCTACACTACAGGAAGTAGCTTACACTTGAAAAACTGGTGAAGGCAAGGATTTACCTGATCCTGTAACAGCATAATTCCACCACTAGACTGCATGCTGCAAATTTCATGGTGTTTATTCATGGCAATTACAAGGAAACCATCCATTACCCGTTCCTCTCTTTCACTTGGATCCACCAATAAGTAGGTCCTAGAATCAAGATTCCACATATAATGCAAATTACTATCCTTAATAAAATAAGAATGAAAAAAAACCAGTTGAAATAGAAGTCATTATGAATATGCCTTTCCACCCCCAATCCATTTCTCTGTTGTCTGTTAAAGGTGCTAGTTACTTTAAAACTCGTGCAGTACACGTAAGTATCTCCATTGTTTCTCATTACAGGTAAAGTACTTAAAGAAATATGCCTATGCATATAAATATTTTTAAGATTATTCCATATGGTCATTTTCTGTAGAACTGCTAATAGGTTGTTTTTGTCAAAGGCTTAACAAAAAGCTTACCCTTGTTGGAAGAAGGCAAAACTGACACAAATAGGCATGTGATGGATACTCAAAGGGACAGGATCACGCTCCTCCGGGGTGTACTTTAAAAAGAATTAGTCCAGAAGAAAGTTAATTACAAAACATTTAATTTTAAAAGGATGTACTATACACAAGATATTTCAAGGAATTTAAAAAAAAAAAGAAAAAAAAAGGCACAGGAACTACTAGTCATCCCAATAGTAACAAGAAATCTAATACTTCCTGTGTAGTTCTTTCTGATAATAATTACATATATAATTGATAGAGGCTATTCTTCTTTCTTGTATTTGATCTGGTTGAAATACTGCTCATGAGACAAAACATTCCATAAAATACTTACAACTTATACTTACAACTAATACTATCTTACAACTAATACTTCCATAGGCTTAAAGTTCATAAAATGATGTGTTCAGTAGGCTCACTTACTGTCCTCTTGCATGTTCTGCAGCAAGGCCTTCATGCTAGGCTGCAGGGATTTGGAGTTCATCTACTTACATAAACATTTATTTCTTCTCTCTCAGACAGAGGGGAAGAACTATTCTACAGCACTTAATATAGACTGATATGAAACTTACCACAGTTATTTCCTCTCCTTGCACAGATACATCTGGTCTGCGAAAATGGCACAAAGCTACAATTCCTGCTATGCAAGCGGCATCAGTGATGTTCCCATCATGATTTAACAGGTGCAGGTCCACACGAATTTGCCAAACCTAGGGAAAAGTGCACATAATGGCACAGGACTTGACAGCATGATTCCACAGAAGCTGTCATTATTGCAATGTTTTCAGCTTCTGAATTACCAAAGGAAAGCACTAGAGTATACTTATAAATTCATCAGTTCTCRGTTTAAGAAGTCATAATGAAAAATCTTGGTAAATCCAATGGTATAAAGTGTGCTAGGTTTAATCACTGGTTAACTTTGACAGATGCACAACAATGAAATATAGTTAAGGCAAAGAAATTCTGCAAAGAAATACTCTTAACTGTTGCAAAAGGCCCACAGAAATGAGTAAATTAAAACACATGACATGCAAATTCAGATAGGACATTCTTATTATGTTAGGCTAGAATCAAAATTCTGAGTTTTCAAAACAAAGCAGTGATTACTTAAAAAAAAAAAAATACACATTCTCTCGTGTGTGGCGTTAGTAGTTTTCTGTACCTTCTCACCAGCAACGACACAGAGAGACTCCGTATCTATACACTTGGAGTTTCTCAGGCAGCGTTCTATCAGCCTGTTCAGTTTCACCAGCAGTTCAGGTTGCCTGTTAAAACAAAAGGGTCCCAGACTGTGCGTGATTAAACGGTGTATTTACAAGGACCCAAACAGTGGCTCCTAGGTTGCCCCTCTTTTCAGCCTTTTAAGAAAGCTATGTACCTGCCAGGCTCAAAAGCGGGTGCTGCCATCGGTGAGAGCTCAAGATTGACGAAAAGGATACCTTCCGTGGCCCGACTTGGCTTGGGGGGCACGAGCTCACACGAGACTTGTCCAAGAACCCTGCAGTGAGAAGGTAATAAACCCCCAGACCACAAAATTTAGTAGGAAGAAATATCTACCACTAGAAACAAGAGAAATTCCCTTAAAAATATATATGCCTATGTACACATCTATGCATATATATATATATATATATATATTTGCATCTCAGCTTTTATTTTGTACTTCTATCATCTCCAAATTTCCACCCAGGCCCCTTCTCTCTCCTTTCTGCTCCAATTTATAACACAGATTACTACTGCCAAACTGCCACGGGTTCCAGCCGCCAGCGCTGGGAACCGCCTCCCAACGTCCCTGCCCCGGACCTCTCGGTTCACGTTAAAGGCCGCTTTCCCAGGCACGGAAGGGCAGGCCAGGGGCGGGGAGCGGCYTCTCGCGGCCGCCCAGCCCCATCCCGGCTACCTGGTCTTGCCCAGCTCCACGATGCAGCAGCCGTAGTCAGCACCGAAGGAGATGCGCACGTTGCGGTAGTCGTAGCACTGCCGCCCGTCCAGGCGCTGCCGGAGAGACACGCACGCAGTTACCGCAGGGCCGCGCGCGGGGATGGGGCCCGGGGYCCCGCCGCTGCCCGCGGGGAGGGGAGGAGGAAGGTAAGGCAGCCCGGTACCTTCCGCTCCTGCACGGCGCGGAGGAGAAAGCGCCGCTCGCAGTTGGACAGCGGCGTGTCCTTCATGGCGGCCGTTAACGGCGGCGCAAGCCCGATCCCGACCGGCGGCCGCGCGGCGCTGCGTCATCACGTGGCAGCCGTTGGGCGGCAGCGCGCAGGCGCGGGGCTGGCTGCGCCGGGCGGCTGCGCGAGCCGCCTGCAGCGCGGGAAGCGCCGCAACGGCTCCAACGGCCGGCGCGACGCGACGCTCAGCGCAGCAAAGCGCCGTAACGGCTCCAACGGCCGGCGCGACGCGCAGCGCGGCGCAGCGCAGCAAAGCGYCGTRACGGCTCCAACGGCCGGCGCGACGCGCAGCGCGGCGCAGCGCAGCAAAGCGCCGTAACGGCTCCAACGGCCGGCGCGACGCGCAGCGCGGCGYAGCGCAGCAAAGCGTCGTGACGGCTCCAACGGCCGGCGCGACGCGCAGCGCGGCGCAGCCCGCCTTGCGTGCGGCTGGAAAGGGGCATTAATCTTAACTTCTTCGGGCAGGCATAGCTTCAAAGAGAAACCTGCTTATCCCTTGGGCCCAGCCTGCGTAGCAAAGGTGCCTGAGTGACTGATTCAGCATCGTGCACTGTGTTCATAAGCTTGCTCTCTGCGGATTTTGTGCGTTAAATCAATCTCTKTTAATCTACAATTTGTTTGGTATCACTAGTTCTACCTTAAATGAGTGGAGAAGACTTTCTGGTGCTTCTGTAAGTCATCACAATGTTTTTAAGCTTTAACTCTGGTAAGAATTGAGTCATGGAGGCCTTGGGTGAAATTTGCATCCAATTGGCAATGGTTCAAAGTAGTGAAATACCTTGCAATGGGAATACAAACWGAGCAGTGTTTAGTAGTTGAGGAAGTTTTTAGTCATGATTTGGAGACCCGTACTCACAGATGATGGCTCAAGTGGCCCTGGAAAGGGTTATTGTGGTGTCTGTGAGTCTCAATATTTATTTATTTATTTGTTTATTTAAGTGCCTGAGAGAAGACCATGGGAGTTTGTGAAAAAAGGTCCCGTTGTTCACGAAATTGTATGGAATTAAAAGAATGCATCTCCTGCTTTCATTGGTAACACAGATGCAGTGCTCAGTGGTCAAGATAGGCAGAATGCTAAAGACAGGCCTGAGAAGAAAAGTCTGTAGAGAGCAGCTGAGCTGGCAACAGTAGCAAGGTAAGTAGGATAACAAAAGTACAACCAACTTCCCTTGAACAACAATTCTTATTTTTCTGACCTCTCCTGTAAATTAAAACTCAGGGCCTCTACAAGTGTCTTTTATGTTTAGTTTGTGTTGGAATGAGAAAATCTATTACATATAGTCTCCTGTAGAATGTTGAAATATCTTCATTATGCTGTATTTTTTTTAAAGCTTGTTAACACATTTGGCAAGAGTTAACAGCTGTTTACTCTGAACAAATCAGTGAGTCATATTCAGAAACTTGCAAATGGTACCAAATGAGGACAAGTGCTGTAAGATTGCCCACGCTGATTTTATATTTTCAGAAAAGATATTTATTCTACAAGAATACCATAAAAATATTATAGTGGSCCTCCTGTTGCAGAGACAAGGACAAGTAAATAATTTTCCCAAATGATACTGCCTGTAAAACAATAGTAAGGTAGAAATTGGTTTAAAACTTGCCAACTTTAATCATAAATATGTTAACATGTGGGACAAGATTCATACTCGGCAACTGACGTTATCAAGAGCTGGCATTTTTTAAGTCATTGAAGACAAATGCAACAGTTTGAATTCTTTTGTTTACCATTAGCAGCAAGGTATAACATGGAAACTTGGTAAGCACTGACAGAAATATGTTGGTAAAATGTGTAAGTTGAATAGCAAAAGTAGAAAACTTCTGAAAGAGGTGGAATGTGTATGTAGGCTTTGTATTTTGAATGTCTTTCTAATTTAAGCTGTTTTTGTCAAGGATGTTAGTGCAAGTGCTTTTCTACARCACTGATGCATTCCTTTTGTCACACAAGTCTGTATATTGCATTCATAGAAATTCAGTGAAGAGGTGAAGGTTTGGGGTTTTTTTGCATATTCAAGTAAACCTGAGCTAAACCCATAAATTCCCTTTTTTTTTTTTTTTACATCTTTTATGTACTACTATTTTGCATTTGTTGGTATACTTACTAGGAGTCCATTTTCATCCATGCTCTAAGTCTTAGCATTTGTGGAAGCAGGATTGCAGAATATTTGATGTTTTGTAATTTATGAAATCTTTTTACATCCCAGTGAATAGAATTTGTTTAGTGGTATATTTAAGTTACATCTCTAATAAATAGGATAATCAGAACAATRTTGTATTACCCTTTTCTCGCTTTCTCTGTGTATTTTAGCGTGGGAGTCTAATGATGGCATTATACAATGTCATTATGAAAACAAATGTGAACTTCTGTTCTGCTAACCTATTAAGGGAAGTGAGAGGAAGGTGGCTGGGCTACTATCCTCAAAGAGAGCTCTGGAGAAGCAACTTTTTGATATCATTTTCCRTTTACTGTATTATTAGGAATTTGTCTACAGTCATCACAAATTCTGTCTGTGGTAAATTGAGTTAACTTTGCTTCTACTTGTCATACTAAACCTCAGGAAAACAGAGTTTAGTTTGTCTGAAAAAAAGGATTAAGCCTTGTGACTCATTATAGGATATCAGATTGGCCACACACGATCCTGTCTCATTTGGAAATCTATGCAGACTACTTCCGATCACATCCTTGTCCTTTATATGTTAGGAAATATTCCCAATCTTATTCCCAGGGATCAAGGTAAGATTGATTGGTCTGTAGTTCCTCTTTCTTGTCCTTGAATGTGGAAATGGCATATGTTTTTTCCTGCAWCCTCAGGAACTACTCCTGAACAGCACAACCTCTCACATGTGATTGAGTGGCCTTGAAATGACTTGGGCCGGTTCCCTCAGCACTTGTGGCTGCATCTCACCATGKCTAGATTATTTTATTGATGCTACATATGCATGTTTTGGCTCTACATTGAAATTAAAGGGCCATCCAGTAAATCCATGGGAACAGTGAGGTCGCGTAGATTTCACTAGAGACCTAATCTGGCACACAAACACTTGATTAGTGGTGATGATATACAAGAAGGAGAGACCCAATTTGAATTAGAGAATGTTGATTCAGTTTGGAAAGCTATTTCCTTACAAATTGGAAAAAAATATACCTTTCTGTGATGCATTTCATGTGAAAAGTAGGATGTGGTGTCTGTGAAACCTTACTGTGACATTTTGACAGCTTATAATAACATACAAGGTGCACTGAAAATGTTACCATCTTCTTTTGAATYGAAAAAACACAAGCTTTTATGGAAGGCTGTGTGGACCATACAGGCTGAAGGCACAAAGGATCAAACGTATAGGACTTCTCACAGGGAGCTTTTCTGCAGAGGTCATATATTGTCTAATTAAAATGTTTTGTACTGAGCTGCTCCTACATCTCKCTCTGTACTCTGCCATTAGTCGCGCCCTTGTATTCTGTGTTCTGCAGCTTCTGTAGGCTTAGACTGGCCTCTGAGTATTGACATGAGCAGTTCAGAGTCGTCACTTCTCGTTTACACTTGTGTGAAGGAGCAGAGCYTTGTGCCTTTGTTGGGTAGGCTGGGGGCCAGTGGCTCTGGGTGCCCTTTTGACAGAGGTGAGTGACTGAGCTGCTGAGAAGTTACAGTCTAGTTGCTTAGCAAAGCAATCATTTCCTTGTAAATTAAGTTTTCATTATGGTTTGGATAAAATGATATTTTTAAAGGAGTTGCATGTTTCACCCCCGCTTTTACTAGGTTTTATTGTTCTGTCAGCAATAGTGATCTGTAAGCCATCTGTGATCTTAATATTGACTTCTCCAGAAGTTAGTTCTAACTATCTTTATTGATGAGGAGACAATTAAGGTAAACTCCTACTCCTGAAACTGTTTTTGTTCAAGATCAGTAAAACACACAGAGAGTTTGGTGATSGACTTAAGGAGAAGCTGGGTGGGATTCCCTTCGAGTCGGTATCTTAAGCCACAAAGGAACCAAGTTGTATGGGAATGAGTTCCCATACAGTTCCCATAATTCGTGCCATCTTTGCACAGAGCCTGCTGTGGAGATTTTGTACATACACACGTGCTAGGAAGGATAAAGAATTTGATGCACAAATTAAGGATGCATAAAACCACATATCATTGGAAATTTGAAGCAGGATACATGGGAAAATAAGGTCAATGCAATAGGCTAATGAAATAGAAGTTGAGCTAATACACAATTACTGCAATGTTTCTGCACAGTAAAAGGCAGAGTTGTAATTGTAACCAAGTAATAGAAGTACACTGGGTTTTTGAAACGACAGAGGAAGGCAATGAGTGTGTTATGCTGCCCAGTAAGTGAATAAATCACAGGCACTTAGGCTAGCGCAGGAATCCTCCAAAAGAGGAGCTTAATGATCTATTGTGCCCACGGAGATGGGTTCCTTCATTTGAGATCAATGTTCTGCAGGCTGAAATGTACGAATTGGATTATCTTACCAAACTGAGCCATGAGACAAAATCACATTTGATGACTGAAGGAAAAAAACAAACTGCATCAGAATCTTAGTGTCTTGATTCTAAACCTCCAGCAACCATATTTTATGGCTTAATAAAAAAATACTTAAAATTTCATCCTTTTTCTTCACACTAAGCTTAAATATAATGTGCCCCATGCTGCTTTGTTGCTGGTCCCACTCTCCACCATCTCCAGTATACACATTTACAAACACATGCACAACATGATGTAGTCAATATTTTAGTAGTGATAATAATTGATTTGGGAATAATAATATTGATATCCTTAAGATTGATTTGGGAAGAAAAACTCTACATAAATGTGAAAAATATTTTTAATAGCTTGGTTTTACAAACAAACACACTTGGTTAGAAAAAAACACGGTCCTGCCAGACAGGATGGAGGAGGTGGGTAATCACTGTGAGCAGCGCAGCCTGTGGAAATAAAACTTGCGCAGCTCAGGCCGCTTAACAGCTTGATGCAGTGAGGTGCTTAATATTTTGGCCT